ATGTTAATTTTAAAAATATTTTTGTCAATGCTTCCAAGTCATACCTTTTTTTCTCTACTTATATAGGTTTCAGCCTTCCATTTTCATCTCTCTTTTTCTCTCTCTCTCTCTCTCTCTCTCTCTCTCTTTCTCTCTCTCTTCGTTGAACTCAATATTTTCCAAATCTACTTTTAGTAAAATAAATCCGCAATAGTTTCCTATAATGCTTAGCTTTAAATGTTTAATTCGCCACAAAATATGATCTTAGGCGCAGTCATGCTAATGACTCTTTAGATTTCTATTTGTGCGACATCTTCATTTCCTCTCAAAACCTAATAAGAAAGGTCTTTAAAACTTCGCAAATCCAGAATGATAAGTAGAAACATTCATCGATGAAAATGAGAAAGAATTGAAAGCGGGTGTGAGAGTCGATCCATATAAAAATTCAATGTTCCATTAATCATAAATCAGATTATAATATTTATTTTGCATGAGATAATGAACTTATTACACGTAACCAATGCATTGTTGCACAGCGATGACATCGCATTCGCGTATTAACTTGCTAATTTCGGTATCCGGCAGATTCCAAAGGAGCTTCGACACCAAATCGTACCGCAACTCACGGCTAAACTCACAAACAAGGGAACTTGATGCGATTTTGCGAAGCACCTCTGTTGTCAACTCAAGATGGTTCCCGCAACCGCAACATTGGTAACCACATGCTGGTGTGACATTGAGGGATGCTATATACAATTTAACAGAATGTCTACTATTTTTTGTTGGTTACTTTTTTATGATAAAAAAAAGCTATTTCACTTATTACTTTTCGTAAACGCTTCTTTTTGATTATTATTGACAATATTAATAAAGACACAGTTGCTAAAAGTTATTTGTGCTTGTGCTATTATATAGTAAATATAAAAGTATTAAAATATTAAATTTTATATCTTTATTAAAGTCTATCTTCACAAGTACTATGCGGAGATTTCAACAACCGTCGCGTCTGTCGGAGACTTCGATGATCGGGATATTTTAAAAGATAACAGACGCTTGTTCGTAGATTATAATTAATCTATTGTGTGTGTAGTATTTTTCAAACATTTTATAATATTTTTATTCTAATTATACTTGTTAAATGTACGATCTAAATAAACTTATTATCACAAAAGTTTTTATTCTTAAAATAATAACATTTCATAAATTTTGTACTAAATTAATATTATATAGAATACAAATTTTTTCAGTATCAGTTAAATGTTACATTAAAGTTGCTTTTTAAGTTAATGTTAAAATTATTTCAGAGACTTGCATTTTGTATTGCATGTATTTTGCTACTGTTATTTTGATATCTACCTTAAAACATTACACAATATAAAAAAATGATAAGCAATATAAGAAAAATCCAGTTTCCACGAGCATATTGAAAAGTCACGCATACATTTCTCATAATAATTATTGTATGATAAATATATTATTGTATGATAATCCTAAAGAAAAATTTTTTATTAAAGTATAATTTAAAAAACGTAGCAATCGGAAAATATTATAGAACAAACTTTAATAATAGCATATTTAATTATAATATATACGGCTGTACATTATTGATGTAATGTTATCAGGCTTATCGCCGGAATGCTCGATTAGCGAATAGCGTGACGAACTTGTTACAGACCGTTGCAGATTATATCACAAATTCTGCACATGCGCACGCGTGAAAATTTATCGCTGCGGAAAGATTAAACGGTCATTTAATAGCAATATAATTTTTTATAAATCATCTTTTTTTTGTTCTTAAAGTGATTAACTTACAAAAAATACTCAAAGATTTTATTTAAAATAAAACATTTTTCTATGCTTTGCTTAAAATATGAGTACATAATAATAACAATAAAATTCAACATTTTAAATAAATATAAATTATTCAAAATTGTTTAAAGTATTATACTAAATTTATTTTTTAAAACGTTATATTACAACATTTTAATATTTTACATTTTAAGTGTTATTGCTTTTCTCCAACTACTTCTTTACATTATTTTTATAAATTTTTTAAAGTTTTATTAAATTGTATTTAAAATATAATTTAATTAAAATATCTTTATTTTTAAATAAATTTCTATTTCAAATACAAAATACAAATTTATAAAATTTTAAAATTTTTATTAAAAAAATAAGGTGATTATTGATAATGGGCATTTAGAGTTTCACATGATCTTAACATGTGTTGTCAAAGTTATGACTCTAACCCGAGTGACTTTTAAAAGGTTGTAGCTATCATTCATTATTAAAAAATTATTATCAAAAAAATTATAATCAAAAAAAGTTAATTATTCTTTTTAATATTTTAAATAGTAATACAATGTATATTTTCGTGTGGAAAGTTATAAATCTATGTGAAATCTCGCTTTGTGTTGTAAAATGTGTGTATGGATGTAGTGGGTTCCACTCCTCTACGGGAAACTCTTCAACAAAAAATTAGATGAATAGGTTTGTATTGAACCGCGTGAAAAATTGCAAACCCACATGTGAGATTCCACATGTGTTCACACAACTTTTAAACATGGGTTTACAACTTTAGTTAAACTCCACAGGGGTTTATAACTTTTCATGCGAAACGAGATTTCAACTTAAACCACGTGGGTTTACATTTATGTGAGATTTTTAATTAATGATTGATCAATCCAAGATATAGCTTTTACGTAGCAAAATTGCAAAAATTAACCTAATTTATATTTCGCCTAATTTGCATTTTGATAACATATACGTATATAACTAAAAAAGATATAAATATATCAACATGTAATGAGATATGTAGAATCCATAGTCCGTCTTTAACCTCAAGACAATCTCAAGTAATGTCTTAAGATATTAATACGGCTCTCTGATTGATTTATAATATCTCAAGCACTAGCTTATGATCATCTCGAATCTTAAGCAATATCTATGGATTCCGCCCTTAGATTAATTGCAGTAAAATTCGATTTTGATAAATAACTTTTTAATAAACAACAAGTATCGGCTAAAATTTTCTGAAAGAAGTTTATGGTCATGACCTTGACAACATCAAAGTGAAAGTCATCGAAGTTGGATCTCCTTGTCAATATTCACCAAAATAAAATTAATTGCAAAAGCGAGCTAGTAGAATTTCAAGCAAAGACAAAATTCTTTCTATTTGGTCAGTTTTTAATTCATAATTTCGTAATTGCGATAACTGTTACTGTCATAAATATTTTCAAAGAAAAAAAAATCGAGAGATAAGTACCGATCGAAAAAGTTCGATATCGCGACGTTCCTCTGATTAATTTACTGTAAACTTTTCAGTTCAAAAATGTATGAGATTCTTCGTATATAATTCGAGACGAGTTGAGAATTTTTTTCTTTTTCCAAATGAATAAATCACGAAAGCAAATAGTTTGCGAGGAATTGCACGTCAATCTCGCAATACGGTATATTCAGTCAATTCAAACTATCTAACCAGTGAACTGTAAACCATCTGCTTTGAATCAATAAGTCATATATTAACGTTCGCTCTTCAATTTTTGTATAAAGATGAGAAAACTTGTTTTATTTCGCATGTAATTTAAATTTATTTTAGAAATTACAGAACGACGAAGGAGATAGCAAATAATCTGGCAAAGCACATAACTATACTTACTCATGCAGAACTATATAACAGATACTTAATATAAGTAAATACATTATAAAATATATGCAACAATATGTTTATCAAATAATATTTTTATTAACTTTATTATGAAAATAATCTGCTAAACGAAAAGTTTTATGGTGTTATGAAAGATTATGTTTTAACTGTTAATTACGTAAGTAATTAACGTGTTTCACACGTATCACTGAAGAAACTATTTGAATGTGTAAAAAAAGCAAAAGTTATATTAAAGATTGTTAAGAAAGAATAGACAAAATTTATTAATAGATTATATTATCCAAAAAAAAATTTTATTAATAAAAAAATTCTTTGTTGATAAAATATCACTTATTAATTTTTAATTATTTAAATATACCTTAAAATATAACATAAATATAGAATATAATGTAAACTTTTAACTACATAATAGCTTATATAAGTGACTTTATACATAGAAGAAAATTTTAATATACATTTTTGCTTTACATTCTAATCTAATCTTTAATTACCCATGTAGAAATAAATCTAGTTGACCTCATTCAAGGCCTAGCTAGTAATGACAGATCAGATAAGTACTTGTTACTGAGTAGTTACTAGCTGCATATTTATAATCAGTTTTTGTAATATAATTGTTCTCTAGTCACAATATTAAAAATATAATAACAAAGAATGTTGTTATATCTAAAATGTATAATCTAGCTACTGTGAATATGCAGCTGATAATTATCCAGTAATGAATTTGAAAATTTATCTAATCGTTACTATTATATCTAACTCTTAAATCAAATCGACTAGATTCATTTCTACACGGAACAGTTTTCTTTACAGTTTTAATCAAATTAATAATAAAAATAAGGAAAAATATAATTTATAATACAAATTATGTGTTTATTTCACTCATTGAATTAAATAATATTATTAAAAAATTATTTATATTATCTATAAAACAATAAATTATATACGTCTTTATTAATAACATAATAATAGCACAGTACGCGAAGTAAAAAATTCAAAGTCAGGAACTCGTGTTCTATCAAGTTCTATCAATAAAAAAAATTTCCATTTAAATTATGTTATCTGTGGGGATTAAGTAGATAAATTGTTAAAGAAGAAAAATAACTTTCCATAAAAGAATTATTTTATTTTATTTTTTTATTTGCTTTAGTCGCTGCTAGTTCAGAATAAATAATTAAATAGACATGAGGTTCAGTTACTATTTGAATATTTTGAGTAAAGAGAGAAAAGAGAAATATTTCAATCATATAAACCATAAACCTCTTCGAGCAAGCCAATAAAATAACGAGCGTTCTCAGGCAATCAAATATCGAGTAATAAAAATGGAATTTATTTGTAGGAGGGAAAGATGACGTACCTTGTAACCGAGGTAGGCAAGTAGCAAAGCTTCGGTTAACGACACCATAGCCAAGATGACTTGGACAACCCACAACTCTAAGGGTCTTCTGACCCATAGGATCGCATCCCAATTAATGGTCGGGTGTTCCTGGAATTCCTCCTCCGTCAAGTTTTGCGACGCGAGAAACTCGGTCTTGTTGCCGGGTATACAACCGTAACTAGGAAGAGATAGAGAAAGAAGGATGATAAGTGACGGATGAGTGTGTGAATAGAGAGAGATGGATTGTCGCGCAGTATTTGGCATGCATGAGTTCAATAGGTTTTCGACATCGAGTACATCGTTTGAATCACATTGAAGGACCCCTCAACTATCACATTGCATGGAAAGAATAGAAAGAATAAAATATCATGTCGAAAAAAGTTTATACAGCCTATAAAAACATATTTTTTATTAAAATGTTCGTGTCAAAATTTATGGATATACTACAGGATATTTTTACTAAGATTGCTGTTTTAATTATAGTTTTCTTGAAAAATTTAGAGTCAATAGATTTTTAATAAAAAAGAACCTCATGTGTTTCTTATGAATGTATGTGTACCATTATATTATATAAAGCAAGACATCAAGTTATCTTAAAGAGATATAACATTCGTTGTCAGATTCTATGACTTCAGAGCTTCAATCTTCTTTATTTCTTGACTTTCTGTAGTTATGATAATGAAGACATTTGGTTGCAAAATTACAAAATTACAATATATCTTAAAATGGAGTAATTTGACTAAGATTACTTTTTTAAAGAAAATTTGTGGAATTCTTTCATCGGAATCATTGATTTTAATTATAAAATTACTTCACATATTAAAGGATTTTGATAAATTTTGTTTGACAAATAGAAGATAAAAACTCTTTAGGAAATTAAAATGTTGAAAAATAAAAATTAAATAAAATTTGTAAATTTTTGTTAAAAAGATCTCTGCATGTTTATCAAATACTATTTAAAAAAAATGGTTCATACTATATAAAAGTACTAAATTAATATTAATATTAGTTACAAAATATTAATAATATTCGGATTTAAAGTACAAATTGTTATTTATTCGAAAATATTGTACGAAGAGATATTGTAAAATCTTTGAAAACATTATTCTCAGGCATGTGAGCAACAACACAGCGCATCATATTTGTTGTACTATCTTATCTACGTCTTATTCTAAGCCATGATAGGAATGCTGCACAATATTGTAATCGTGCATGAATATCACGTTGCTCACACGTTAGAGCGAACTTCTTCCTAGCAAGATAAAATTTTTCTAGAAAATCGTCCATCGGCGATGAAACGAAAGCAAATGAAGCAATCTCTTTATTTTCAGTGTGGCAATTCATGCTGCTACGTAAAATGTTCCAGATTTTTTTTCATTTTCTTTTATTCTAGAATTCTTCCACTAATGTGAATATATTTCTTAAAAATAAAACATTAACAGCTTTATATTAACAACTTAATAATAGAAACACTTAATTTTTTTACCAAATAATTCGAAAAGAAAAATGTTAAAAAGTAATCTTCTCTGTTTTATAAAACACACATCATTCTCCTTTTTTTGGCGTAAATAAATAAAATAAATGAAGCGAAAACATATGACACACACACACACACACACACACACACACACACACACACACACACACACACACGCACGCACGTACGCATGCACGCATGCACGCACACAAATTGATTAAAAAATAAAAATAAATCCAGTTTTGACAGGTAACGAATTTTTAAGCAGTTCAAAATCCACTAATTAAGTTCAAAACGAAGTTCACGTTTAAGTTCTGCTTAAAAGGATTTATTTGAATATTTAATGTAGCTTACCATGCTGCGAACGTTGGATCGTTGTCGGTAATAACCCTGAATATATACAGGAAGCATGTTAAGAGCTTGAAGAAAAGATTGGCAAGTCGTATTCTCAAGCCTGAAACATAAATTTCATTTCTTTGTTGACTTCTACATATCCATTTAATTTACATTTCTATTGTAATTCATTTTTCTTTTTTTTTAGTAAGTATATAATCTTTATTAGTTTTTATTTTTCTTTTTTTTTTTCACTAAATATAACTAATAAAATATAACATTTCAATTTATATAATAGATACATGTGTGTTAGATTTATAATCTCAATTATAAATGTGAATTTTAAAAAGTAATTGAAACACCTTTATTGCCTTCTTTATTAAATTTTAGATATAAATTTTTTTCAATATTTTCAAAACTTTCAGTAGCCTTCTTTTTATATAAACATTTTTAAAATATTAATATCTCTTCTCTTCAACATTTTTATTTTAAGTTATATCTAATGCTGAAATATCTTTCACCAAAGATGTACAATTAAAGGCGGCCAACACTTTGTAAATTATTTAGTTATAAACTGAAAATATTCCTAAATTTGATAATCACAGTGAAAATTTTATGAGATAAAAGAATAATTTGAAAAAATTATTTATTGAAAATTCAGTGCAATAGAATTTAATATGATAAATAATCGCTTAAAAATATATAGATTGTATAGCATAATAAATAATGAAAAGATATTGTGATTTACTATTTTTAATCTATAGAAAAAATTACATAGTATGTTAAAAATTTAGAAGTAATAAGACTTATTGTTAAATTAATCTATGCTTAAATCGAGTACTGACCGCTCAGACGGCTTTAACGAGACGCTTTAACCAGTTGTCCGCGACAAACTTCACAAAGAGCAACAAAACATTGATCTGTTAGGTTTACATCTTAATGCATAGGTCAGATGAAAAGGTCAACACTAGCACAAGAAGAATTCGTAGTGGCACAATATCTATTATCATCATTACAGTTCCGAAAGAGCACAATTGTGCTCTTTCAGAATATCCACAGAGATGGTGATATTCTTAAAATTGCCTTTAGAATGGCTTCGCTATTTCAAAAGGAAGCAATCGAGACCGCGGCAAGCCAGAAGACCATTGACGACAATCTCGCTATTTCCGACGACAAATTTGGTAAAAATATAACATTGATACGGCGATGTAGTTAAACTTATCTCGGAAGTTGTCATTATTTTTAACAAAAATATTTTCATCTCCATATACATGTATCTTATTGTTATATTTTATTTAAAGTACCAAATTGTAATAATATTTTGAAATATATTAATGTTTATAGTTGTTTTAATAAAGCAGAAAATATGGAAAGTTATGTAAAAGTAGATAGATAAAACGTGACATATATATTTTATTGTGTGTATTTTGCGTGTCACAATTTAGTATAAAATGTAATGATGCTATCAAATAGCATGAGATAGAACTACAGATACGAGTTTTATGATAGCAAATCTCTCTGTACAATGAAAGATGCGTATGTATGTGTGATATCAAATGTAATAATATATCTATGATATATATGATATTATATATAAATTGCAGCAAACATTTTTACAGTAATTGTAACAATCGTATCACGGTTTTTATTAGAAATATAGAACAAAACAGAATATAATTGAAATACAAATTTAATTAATATTTCTATGATTGACAATGTAAATTGTAGTAGTTGAATTTACGAAAACTTTTAGCTTTCTAGGAAAACTTCTCTCTTTTGTTACACATATCTACAATTTAAAAGTTACCATAAACATAATCAATTTACTTACTTGAACGCTGATTCTTGATGAAGTACAACTGCAGTCGTTCCTTGAATGTATTTTCATTCACATAATACTCGACACGAACTCTGGAAGTAGACATACAACGATGTTACTGTTAATTGATTTTGCAAACTTTTCGTAGATATTAACTATAACGTAGATATTATCTAACTTTATATAATAATATTCAATAACTTTTAACCATGTTCAATAAATTTTCAATTATATTCAATAACTATAATAATTTTCGTTTGTATGTAAGATACAACTGTTTCTAATATAAGTACAAATATCGTAAATTCTCTTTATTTTTTCGATAAACTTTGTTATAACATTCTATAGCAAAGCAATCTTATACACATCTGTATCGACATTTGCGTTTATATATATGACATGTAATATCATGAAGGAATACATATCTACGTATATCGGTATAGGAAAACTTGTTGTTCGACTGGAACTATCCCAAGATCAAAGCAATGACAAGAAATGTCGCTGTATTGTTGCATGACTAATCAAACAGCGCAACAGTGAGTGCTGTATATACTATTTAAATTCTCATTATTGCTACTGTCTCTATTGCATTATATCCATGAGTCATTTCTGTTCAACATTATAGAGCAACATTATAGAGCAACATGTAAGAGTCATTTCTGTTTAGCATTATAGAGCACGTAAGAACCATTATGAAAATTGGTATGCATTGACTATGACGTAAATTATACAATAACCTATCTACTAAGTGTTTTTCTAAAAAATGTATTTCACATATTTATATAGTGCTTATATTTGATATTTGTCTCTTTGTTATATAACACTGAAAAAAATATTAAATTTTAATAAATATTTATTTGACTTTTATAAATAATGTTTATTAAATGTACACACATATTTATTATACAAGAACCATTAATTTGATTTAATTATTATTTTTTTATTCAGAATAAATACTTATGTAAATATTCATTTAATATACTATTCAAAAAAATGAAATACTAGGATTTAGTTTTAAATGTATGTAACTTTCTTTATATTGTATATTATATATTTAAATATGGAAATTTATATTATATATTATATATTATATTATATATGGGAAATTTAATCTGCATTTTATCATTTATCCATCCAACAATTTTAATTGTATATGATGTTTAAGATATTAACATAAAATAATTCTATGTTCTTTTAAATTTTACATATACATCTAATTTACATGCAAAAATAAAAAATATAAAAGTAAATAATAAATAAAAAGGAGCATGTAAGCTATCGCAATCTTTATACGAAAAAATTTATTCGACAATTTATTTTATACATATATTATTAATATAAATGTTTTGATCTTTCCATCAAGTCATCCCCAATATGTTGTTGATAAGATTTAAGCACACACACAATTGCATTAATATGTATTATTGTGAATAAATTTAAAACAATTATTATATTGAAATTATGTCCATGCGTCAAAATCGAATGCAAAACTTGTCCTTTGTTAAAATATCTTTACAAGTAAATTAAAGCTTAATCAATTTTATAATTTCTTTCATTAATTAAACGCTATTGATAATTGAAAAACACCCAATAATCATGATGGTTTCACAATTTATAACTGATGAAATGTCGAAACATTTATGTTTATAATATATTATAATATATTTTAATATATAAACAACAAGTTGTCGAATAGATTTTTTTTTAAATAAATTGCAATAGTTTACTTCTTTTTATTTATTATTGACTTTATCAAAAATTCTTATTATTTATTTAGAAATCATAACAATTATTTAATAAATACAGTTAATATAAGATTTTATAATTAAGACATTAAATTGTTTTATTTACTGATTGTTATTGATGTTTATTTATTATCTTCGCATTCGTTATATACATCTGAATTAAACTTCAAGTGAAGGAACCAAACCGTCTGCGTGCAATGACGTCGTTATGTTACGTATTGTTATTGTTAGTACTGCAGCGAAGCGAGCAAACCGATTTTATTGGCCGGCTGTCATCTTATGCACTTGGTAGTGCACCGCTGCAGTCCTTATTTTTAGCCGCGGTAAATGCGTCGGCGTTGCGCCGAGAATAGCGTCGCGTGACGTCATCGGCGTCGACAGGCGGTCTGTCGTATGGTATCGTTCCCAGTTGTTGAACTGGTTCTTTGACCCACATAACGTCACGAATGCTTGACCTAGGCTATTCGTCCTCAGCAAAAGGAAAGCTGATGGAAGAAACGATGCCAATCGAGATGAACCAGTGTTGCATATATTTTCATGCTTGAAGGAATAAGTTGACAAAGACATGAACGCGTTAGCAGATTTTTTTACAATGATATTATATCTGTTGTATTAAGAATTAAATAACTGTTTTCTTTTTTCAAAATCGATGAATAATTTCAGTGGAATAATTTTATTTAACAAAGCTTTATACAGATTGTTTACTATGAAGAGAAATCTAACAATAATTAACAAATTGAACTATCATGTTTAATGTTTGCAGTTATCAAATTATTTAGATAATTATTTATATAAAGTATCTGTTTCTTATTATTATCTAGAATATATATTATTTCCATTTTTATCTTAAATAAAAAAGGTATTATTTTTTTAAATAGCTATTATGTGTAATGAGTTTAATACATACCGGTGTAGAATTTAAAATATTTAAAAAAAAAACATAAAAATAGAAAAATTCGCAATAAAATCATAAAATACTATTAACGACAAACAAATACGATATTTCTTTTTTTATAAAACGAATACTCCGACTAATATATTTATTCATTTTACTTACTTTTTTGTTACTTACTATTCGAGTTTTTATTTTCTCTCTCTAAAATATTCGAGTATATTTATTTACTTTGTTTCTACATTTTTTTATTTATTATTTCAATATCATGCAGAATGTTTTAAAAATTACAAATAAACAAACAGACCTAATCATGTTAGTATTAAGATTTGCAATTCTGGTTATTGTTTTTGAAGTAACGCATTGTTAACGCACGCGCGTTTACGCTTATTGCCTTCCTTTTTTCATACATTATAAAAATTATAAATTAAATAAGAAAAAATATTTTCAACATTAACTATTTTTATATATGTTTAAACTTTAAAAAATTAAAGTTTCTTTCTTTCTATTTACATACATTTCAACATTACATTTCTTGACATGAATATTACATTTCTTGACATGAATATGTAACATAGGAAAAGATTGGATATATAGCGGCTGATATGAGACGAGAATTGTTCAAATCACTTATTAAGCCACTCTCAAATAACAAGTCCATATACGTGAGAACCAGGATTTCTCTATATTGATCATAAAGACAGTGTATTGTGCATTTTGTTGTACAGCTGCTGTTTACACTGGCATGAAGTTATAGATTTAAAACCTTGCTTTTTTTTAAAGCTGCTCGTTTCAATGTTGTTTTTTCATCGCATGTCATTCGGATAGTATTGGACAATGAAGTGACGCACGATATTGGATAATCTAAGTAAGAATAAAAATAAAGATAAAAAACAAAAGTCAGCGAATGCCATAAAAAAATATTAGTATTTAAGGAAAACATTAAACAAGATGAGGACAAAACTAATTGCGTTATTTGCAGATAAAATTTTGATGAAGACTGGAGTGCAATGTTTGTAAAAATTCGACTTATGAAAATTGTGCTAAGATTAAAGGAACTGATCTCTTGTATAAATGTGAAGTTTGTACACTGAGAAAAAATGCTGTTGATTCAATTAAAGTCTATATTACGGACTGTCACTAACATAAGTAATTACTTCATGTATTTTTATTGACATAAAAGTCTTGATTATCGAAATAATAATTTATGCCTTTATGTCAATAATATAAATTAATCACTTATGTAACAGTAATTGAATCAACAGCATTTTTTTTTCAGTATGTTCAAAATAAAATATAAAAACTTATAATTAATAATTCTCTGTAATAAATAATAATTTACATGTAAAATGTAATAAAATAAATCAAATAAAAAATAAGTATATAAAAATAAATAAAACGGTTTAATAGTAATGTTATAATAAATAATCATATCTAAGCGCTAAGCAGCTCTCAGTGTTAAAAATAGTGCAAGACGACATTGTGTTTAAAGTATAATATAAAGTATAATATATTTCCAAAGAGCATGAATTAAAACAAAAATAATTTTTAAAAATTTCCCATTAATGTCTATTAAATTTAATTTTACAGCAAAGCAATTAATTATTCGCTTTAATTTTATATTGACGTAATTTTATATTAATGTCTTAAAATTTTCATTTTATTATTAGTAAAAAATATTTAATAACAAAAATGTAATTTTATATTCGAATTGATGTAAAACATAATTTCTAAAATTAATGTAAATACATCATTTGTTGTGATAGCTACAAAATCAGCAAACAAAATGAAAACGAAAGTTTTCATTTATTCCATATTGATGTGACATTCAATGTTTTTTATTGATGTAAAAAAAATATTATATTGAACAATGTGTCTGAAAATTATTGAGAAGATCTAATAGAAAGTAACATATCATATACGCAATGTATCCAACCAATTCGGAAATTCCATAGAACATTGAGCGAAACGATGCACTGGTGAAAAATTGTCGAGTTTGAATAATTCGACAGGAATGCAAATCCTTCAAGCTTCACAGGAGCAGCTATCGATTCTATGAACGATACAAAGCGAAATGTATCAATATCACTCGAGTTTTGCACGCGAATATCGCCGCAGTCTCCGCGATGCGCGGTAATTTAACGCGATCGGCCGTGTAGACGAGAAAAGCCCGTTTAGTGGGCTGTGAGTAATGTCACTAACAAAATACGTGGGCCGATGCAACCGATGTTCCTGTTTCGAGGACACTAGAGCTAAAAGAACGTATTTACGCTGATTGAACTCGTAATTTTTGCAAATAAATTCGTACTCAGATCAAAAACATTTTCTAATTCTTATAGAGCTATAGAATGAGGACTATGATAAGAATCAGATTTGAATTGAATCCATGATACATCCATGTATATGAGATTTATTGCATACAAAAATACTATTTCAATAATTAAGTTATTAAAAA